TCAGGCACCGATGGGAGCTGAAGCTCCTCTCGGATCTTTACATTCTTTGCCCTTTGCAGGGTGGTACCTCTCACTATTCGCCGAAGGATGGAGTAGGTACTTTAGAGGAACATTTTTGGGCATTTAAGCCATGGTAGAGAACATAAACGAGAATAAGACTTACATTATATTAAAAAATCTTTTAATTTTACACTGATGTAATGAATTTAATCAAAATTGTAAGAGCTGTTTTCGAGAGAAAATCGTAAAAATGTCTAAAATCTATTATATAAAGTTCCAGGCATACAAAAACCTTAAATACGCAATTTCACTTTCTTATGACTTATCGTTTTTGAAATTCTTAACACACACATACACAGACCATTTTGTGGGATTTGGACTCAAGGTGCCTCAAAACATTATTTCCGTTCAATAGCGGATCCAGGATTTAATTTTTGGGTGGCTTTAGCCCGAATGATTTTTTTTCATATATATAACAATAATTAATTAGAAAAAAAAGAAAGAAATTAACTACCTATATGAAATGGTGTTTATGTCTTTCTAGAAGTCCTATCAAATGTAATTAAACGAACAAGAATACTTTAAGAGATAGTTTTTAATATATTTTTCTGTAAAACATGGTTATATTTTACTTCAGCCCGAAAGCCCCTCTCTCTCCGTATATTCGCCTGTGTTTCCGTTGAAAACTGAGATTCGAAAATTTTCAGTATCGCAATAATTTCCCTTACTGTACACGGTGTTCCGTAAGCAGAGGGAAATATACAAAACGTTGATAGTAGACAAATTGTACAAAAAAGTTTCTATAAATAATTGCCTAATTTGCGTAGGATGTGGGAAATTTAAGATTTGTGTTTTTTTAAGCGATTCATATTTTTTGTTGAATAAGAAGAGATAACTTAAAAAATATATGAATGAAGGAATTAAACACTGTTCCATGATAAACTAGACAAAATTTACTTTAAGCGAAAGTAGAGTTTGTCATTGTTAGAACTATTTAAAGAGGAAACTATTGAGCGGACAAACTAAGCTATGTTCAGTTAAAAAAAAAAAAAGTGATAAATTATTTGTGATTTTTGTTTATGACCCAACAACAGTACTACAGTTACCACACTTTTAGAAAAACTTCCTCATTTAATAAGCTTTAAGCCCATATTAATTAAGTTCGAGTTTATTTAGAAAAAAAATTGAAATACAACTCAAGTTGCGTAAAGAAATTATGTGATTTTCTAATGTGTGACCTAAAAGTACCCGTGTTTTCAGCAAAAATGGACACAATTAACTGTTGCAAAGCTTTTATTTATTGTTTTTCTGTGTTATGGGATGTATTGTAATAAACGCAATTGCCTAAACACACATTTTATTTATAAACGTCTGCCAAGTAAGATCAATATAGTTTCCTCACCGTTTTAATTGGCTAAAAAATATCTATATTACAAGATCTAACGTTTTTCGTATGAGAATAAAATCTCTGGGAGAAGCCGTTTTCGGAAATTCAGTAATTCCTCAACATTTACGGATTTGATATTTTTGTTCATTGAATACTAAAATGTGAAAGAGTTCTGAATTTGCATATTTCATATTTCATGCTTCGGGATTAAAAAAAAAAAAATCCAGTCCATACTGAACATTAATATCACTACTTTTATTGCAAAAGACCGTATGTAAAAATTTAATGTTTTACATGAGAGCATATAAACTAATTGTTTCTTTGGTATGATTACATATTTTTTATTTTTTTTTAGAAAATTAAACTTTATTCTGGGACTAAGTCCCTTTAGAATAAAACAATGATGAATTAAAACAAAGTAAAATACAAATCAGGCCAAAAACTAACTTATAAAAATTTTAATATTATATACATTGTTTAAAAAGTATGTAACCACTAAAAAATAAAAAATTATATATATATATATATATATATATATATATATATATATATATATATATATATATATATATAAATGAACATAAAATCTTCTCAAAATTACTTATTATTGTGATGAAAAAAAAAAGAAAAGAAATTACATATTTATATATACATACTGTACATATTTATATATGCATACAATATTTTATTGCTCTCTGTTATTTTCCATCGTAGAAGACTGCTTATATCAGTTGCAGACTACAAAATGTCACCCTTAGCACAAATAGAATAAAAGTTGAAAATATTTACATACGAGTGTGACTGTAGTGAGTAGTGATGTTAATAGGACAAATTCAACTTTTTGTTTGTTCGGAGTTGACTTCAAACATATTTTTTTATATTACAGTTAACTAAGATATTCAAGAAGGAAATCAAGACCACCACGAGTTAGTTGAACTTAAATAGAAATAAACACGATCACAAATAAAATTTTGTTTTTTATATACAAGCTCAGAGTAAAAATTAATTTAAATTTACTGAAAATTGCCAGTAATGTTTGGAATGGACCAAACAATACATTATAAATTAACCTTTTGAATAAAACCTTAAAATTTTATAATCTCGCAAATATATTGTGTTAACCTAACTCCATATGATCAGTGCCATCTATATTTCACAGCCGATATATTGCCAACAATTATTTATATTAATTTTAATTATTAGATGGAATTCAACGAAACTTATACCAGGTAATTTCTATACTATTCTCCAAATTTCCTTCAAATTTGGGTCAAATCGAACGCGTAGTTTTCAAACTATAGTCGTGTCAAATAATGAATTTCCTGATCTGAAAACGGAAGTATTTTTTTTCGAAGTAGTGGACGGAATTTTATAAAATTCATACACACTTGATCATCTGTTTACCAATTCCTAACTTTCCTCCTAATTTGAGTCAAATCGAACGGGCGGTTTTAGAGATATAGACGTATCAAGAATGTAGTAGATAATTCAATCAAATAAACGCTACATTATTTTTTCACTAATATCTATCTTTTATCCAACTTTAAGCCAAACCGAACGAGCTATTTTTGAAATATTTATATATAAATAAAAATACGTTTAAGCGGAAGTGCTAGATGGAATTTGATATAATTGACAATTGAATATCTATTTTTCATGTAAGATGGTTTATTATGGAGCAATTTTTAATTACTTAAATCAAATGTTTTTAAGTTATCGCTTCCTATTCCAACAAAACACGTGGGTCGTTTAAAAAATCACAAATCTTAAATTTCCTACTTTTCTGCATCTTGATGTCTACCACTAGCGGATCCAGGATTTAATTTTTGGGAGGGGAGGGTCTTCAGCCCGAAACCTTTTTTTTTCATAAAAATAACTATAATTACTTTAAAAAACAGAAAAAAACTAACTACCTATATGAAATGGTGTTTAAGTTATTCCTGAAGTACTTTTAAATCCAATTACACGAACAATAATACTTTAAGAGGTATTTTAAAAAAAAAATTTCCCATAAAACATGGTTATATTTTTCTATTTTGGAAGGGGGGCTTCAGCCCGAAAGTCCCCCCCCCCCCCGTAGATCCGCCCGTGATGTCTACTATCGAACTTTTGAATATTCTCTCTGCTTACGAGACACCCTGTATATAGTAATTACACTTTCCCTTACTATATACTAGTTGGCCCGTGCGAAAAATTCGCAGAAAATTTTGTTTATTGAAGGAATAGCAAAACAATGTGGAAATAATTAGTTACTATTTATTATGTAAGGAAGGAATTTATATTTTTTTCTTGGTCGATTACAATATTCCATTAAACATAATAGAAATAATAGGAGATATTTTTAAACGCTGACTGTAATATAGACAAAATAATACTCCGATCATGGAATATTCTAAATTATTAAAAAATGTAAGAACAACCAAATGTCTTTAAGAAATAATAAATATGTCAGACAGGAAAAAAAAAATCGAGAGGAGAAAACCTGGTAGACTATTCTATTCTATTCAATCTTTAAATCGGAAGAATGAGCTATGGGGCTCCACCAAACCTTCAAATTTCTCTCGCATCCAATCCTTACAATCCAAAATCCTTCGTAAAATCCTCAATGCTCCTTACTTTGTTACAAATAAAATCATCCATAATGACCTTAATGTTCCTTATGTATCAGATTTGGCCCAATCCAGATATCTGTCATTCCAGAATAAACTTCATAACCATCCCAACCCTCTTGTTTCTAACCTTGCTTCCTATTCGATTCCTGATAACCCTCCGAGGCGTCTGAAAAGAAGATGGCCAAGTGATCTTCTAATATAGACATATTATTAGAGTGCTACCAATGGGTAGTTTCTCAACATGTGTTTCATGTCATTATATCCATGTGCGAATTTACCAGATGTATTTTTTGTATATAGTTGTAAGTATCATATAAATAAATAAATAAAATAAGAATAAAAAATCGGAAGACATTATTAAGTATACCAAAACTAATGGACTGTAACTTTGTTAATATATGTCCGATGTTTACGATCTTTTTTTTCTTTTTTTTTTTTTGTAGGTAATTTAGTAATCTTCCTATTTATCATGGGGACAATCAAGAAAAAAAAAGCATAATTTTTGAGTTATTCGCGAATAAAGTTTCTTTTTCTTCATAACTTTTTTTGCAGAAATTTTCGGGGAGATAGGACTATTTGCATGTGAAGGAGAATAATATCTTCAGAATGAGTTGTCAATCGATTTGATGAAGAATTGACGAAGTTATGGCGTACCGACAAAAAAAAAAAAAAACACCTTTTAGAAATAATATATAGAATTACATATGGGTACGTGAAAGTAATAAAAAGTGTCTGGATGGATATATGGATTGCAAGACTCAAGTGCAATAAAAATTATTGATATTTCCTCAAATAATGAAATTTTAAACTATCAACCATCATTTTGTCATTTGTCTTCTGTATATTACACTAGTAATAATTTAAAATATTAACCTATTTAAATAAATGAAATATTTAATTAATTTTTTAATTAAAACCATCCTCTATAGACACAGACTGCCCCACCTCCACTGTTAGGAAATTCGTAATCTTATCGTCAGAGGGCAGTTGGTGACGTAGCTAATAGCCCGAGCAGAGAGGCAGGCCTCCTCAGTCCAGGCAGTGTTCTCGTCGAGTGAGGTCAGGTCAGGCCAGCTTTACCTTCGTATTTATCTTTACCTTTATTTTTCGAAACATCATTCAAAAATGATGAACACGAGGTGAGTAATATATTCTAAATATCATACCTGGCTGTGAATAAAATAAATTTATTTATTATAAATATATTTAAATAAATTTAAATAAAATAACTTATTGAAAATTTCATCAGGAAACTTACCGAGAAAACCTTCAAAGCAGTCAAAGACATAAACGCAGCTATATCACACCATCATTCCAAACTGCAAGGGAATCTACATAAGGAGACAAAACAAGGTATTGTGTTAAATTATCTTTATTAAAAAAAAATAATAATTTTAATTTTTTATAAATAATTTTTAAGTTTATATTATATCTTTATATTTGTACTTTTTAAATACCCTAAAATATATATATTATTTATAATGATTAAATACGGAATATATTTTTGATAATTAAGTAGTGAATGAAAGCATATATTAAAACTAAAAATTCAGGCATATATAACACTCTATTACAATATTCTCCTTCATTTAAATATATATTTCATTCTTTCATCATGTATTCGTTCGCTTATTCTTAGTGTTGCCCATATGCGAGACCGAGACGAGTCTTGGTCTTGCAAACTCAGTCTCGTTCTCGTAACGGTCTTGTAGTTACCTATTAGCTTAGTACTATAGAGATATTACTGTATTTTTTTTTTTTAAATAAGGGAAACCTAATTAAGCCCGAATGAAAAATTAGTTAAATGCAAAAGTATATTGGTTATACAAATTATTTGCATATAGTATCTAAAATTGTCAAGCGTTAGTAACTATTTTGCCATAATTTTTATTTAAAAAATCGTTGTTGTTTTTTTTTTTACCAGTCTTGGTCTCGGTATTGCAATAGTGAGGCAGCCTTAGTCTTGGTCTTGCGAAGTGCAAGACTAAGACCGATTTTGGGCAACACTATTTATTCTATTATTTATTTTGACTTATTATTATGAATATGCATAGTCGTATTAACTCTATTTATTTACCCAGTTAAGTATATGGTCCTTAACCACTATCATCGAACGTATGTAAATATTTAACTTTTTTTGTGTTTGTTAGATTTAAAAAATTAAATAAAATCATGATTCTAATTGGAATATTTGTTCATTTTTTATTTATTTCTTTATTGAATTATATTACATTGTGTCAAAATTAAGAACATTAGTAATACAGAAAAAAGGATTCGCACACATCATATCTACGGTAAATAAAAATAAATTAAATAGAATAACAACAAAATAATATTATTAAAAATAAATGTTAAGAAAATAAATTCTCTAATCTTAAGATGCCAGGTGCACCAACTTGATTAAAGAAGGAAACATTTTATTCGATACTTTAAATGATTATTATTATAAATGATTCATTGTTATAATTATTTTGTTAAATCTACTTTCATTTGAAACCTTAAAGAAATAACCTTTTTTTATTTTATTGTCAACAAATCGTATACCCATAATCATATAGTATTTATATATACTTTTTTAAGCAAACTTTTAATGATTTTTTAAAAATATAATTTTTTAATATTAAAATTTATTAAAAATATATAGAATCAAAGTAATAAAGAACGAAATATAGTTGGCTACACCGTGTTCTGAAAGCCATTCTATTTGATAATCAGACCGAAAATTACAACGTCCATGAACTGTGAGAATTTCTCTTTCGAAACACAAGCAAACAAATACCTTTTCAACATTTCTTTCCTGATAGACAAATACATCCGGCTATTTCTTATTAAACGTTCATTTTTTTCCGGGAAGACATTAATAAAAGATAAAATAATAAAAAAAAAAAAAACTGTTGCTTAGTATCTTTAAAACAATTCATCAAATTAACAATTTATTTATTTCAATTTCACATTTATAATCGCGTTTGTATCTGAAAAGAAATTATTAAACGTTAATTTTTTTTTTCGGAATGACATTAATAAAAGATAAATTAAGCAGAAAATGTTGCTTGGTTTCTTCAAAACGATTCATCTAATTAAAAATATATTCATTTTAATTTCACATTTATAATGGCACCGTACCTGAAAATAAATTATTAAACGTTCATTTTTTTCGAGGTCACATTAATAAATAATAAATTAATCAGAAAATGTTGCTTAATGTCTTCAAAATAGTACATAAAATTAACAATTTATTAATTCACTTTTTAATATCACATTTATAAAAGCCCCAGATCTGAAAATAAATCATTGAACGTTCTTTTTTTTTTTTTTTTTTTTTTTTTTTTTTTTTTTTTTTTTTTTTTTTTTTTTTTTTTGGAGAGGATGACATTAATAAAAGATAAATTAATGAAGATAATGTTGCTTAGTGTCTTCAAAACAATTCATCTAATAAACATTCTTTTTTTTTTTTTTTTTTTTTTAATTCCGCCTTCATTTGAGTTCTACCAATGGGTAGTTTCTCTTCATGTTGTACATGCCATGTTACAAATTTCTCATTTACTTATTGTATTCTCTATGTAATACAGTTGTAAATTCCATTGAAATAAAAAAAAAATAAAAAAAAAAATTCCACCTTCATTAAGGTATCACATCTGAAAATAAATAAATTTCTAAAAGAACATTTTAAACCGTGGTCCCAATTTTTGACGAGCGACATTTAAAAATATGGTCAAGGTCTTGAAAAAAAACTTTTAAAGGTTTTTAGTTTATGAGTAGTCAGAATCGACTATTATTTAATAATATTATAATATTATTAAATAACATTACTATTACTATTATTATATAATATTTATACAACGTGAAAGTAAACGGCAGATTCCAATTGAATATGTGATCTAACCGTTCATAAAAATTACATCACTAAACATATAATAAACGATAAACATTTCCTCGTAAAACAAAAAATCAACACTTATATATATATATTATATATACATATAAATCCAAGAAATCACAGAAAAAAAACCTCTCGATGACAAAGCACATGTAGAAATGATAACGTACACGGAATTCCACTTGATATAACATTAAACACTTAATTACCTAGAGACATTGTGTCAAATCAAACATATGAATCATTCATGATATATTATTCTATTGTCTCAAATCTAAATTGATGCAGACAGAAATAGTGCAGACGAAATACGTCATTAAATTCCTCACCTAAGGGGATAGAATTAATAAATTTGAATAAATGACGCAAAGAAAATAAATTTACAGTTAAAATATATTAGAGTTAGATACTTAAATTTTTAAAAACATTTTTGAAGAAAAATAAATAAATAATGCAATAATATTTAATTTTCCGATGCTTTATATGTTTGCAAAAAAAACAAAACATAATGATCATTTTTTTATAGTCTTACTTTACATCTTTGAGAAAATTAAAAAAAAAAAAGTTTTTCTGTCGTAATCTTGACCGCTGTCACTCATTTCTAAACCCCATAGTTTTTCTAAACTGGCAAATTAAATTCAATCGTAAAATTTGTAAAGTAACTTTTACTAGCAATAAAACAGAATCTTTTAATACTAAAAAAATAAAAAATAGAAACATTATAATTCGAATTTAAAATTTTATTAGAAACAACTTCATTAAAGTACCTTGACAATTATCCTATTTTATATCTACCACAACCTTTGAATTTCAGTTGAAATAATATGAAAAGAAAAATATTTATACATGAATAATAATTTATCTAATTTTTTTCATTAAGATGTTTCATAAAAGATAATTTTTTTTACTTTTGTCATTATTTTAATTTAACATAAAAAATAATGTAAGAATTCGTGATAATAATTGTTAAAACAATATTATGAATTAAAGTTTATAGGATTTGTTTGAAAACGTAAATAATTCAGTTGTGAAATACTTATAGAATACGGAACATACTTATAGAATAATAACGCCTTATATGAAACAATTTTGACTCCCTGAAGGATAAAAGTATAAAATTCATTGTTCTTTTTTTTGTCTTTGTTTTTTTTTTTAAATTCTCATTGGCATTTAAATAAAAAAACTATATTTATTTTATATTTTTTCCGTAAGTGGTGTCATAACCTAATTGTTTATAATCTTGGATCAATGAACTTCTCAGGGTTAAATTCGATGTGAAAAACCCTTTAAATTAATATGCAATCTGTTTCTGTTTGTTGACTTTTTATCAAATGTTTTTTTGAAAAAAAATAATAATCTGCCTCATTTAAAATCCATATGTAATAGAGATTCCACAAAAAAGAACTCTATTGTAAAAAAAAAAAAAAAAAAAAAAAACTGTGCGCTTAAACTGCTGTTAGTATATCTAACATATTTCACTTAACTGTAATTTCCAAAAAATATTTTTACGCGAATTGTTCAGGATCTCTACTAATATATAACTAATAATATCAAATATAAACTAATATTAGCTCCATTTTTCAAGCAGTTAAGAGATGTTCTGGATAAAGCTTAGATATTTACACCGAAATATCTACCTATCCCAACCATCATTAATAGTACTATAAATTATTTACATTTGTAAAAGAAAATGAAATAAAAATAAATATAGTGGTCTTACTAAAACAAAATTTGTGGCAATTAATTATTTATTATAATTAAATAAATAATTAAAATACCATGGAAGGAAAATATGATGACTAAAAAAAAAAATGAATAAATTTAAAAGATGAGACGTGTGGGAAAATATATGGTAAAAAATTGTTTAACATTATGACGTTGAACCGTTTATAATTTTTACTTTTGTTTTCCTATTTAAGAAAACAAGTGTTCCCTCATTGGACTAAAATCGAAGATAATATATATTGAAAATGTCAACAAAAAAAAATAATTTGCATGTTTCCAATTTTTTTTTCCTAATCTTATATATTCGTACTTACACTTTTATATGTACTTACAAAATAAAACAAAACAACCCGGTTTGCTCCATCGGTCGGTACAAATTGTTTAATTTTAATATTATGTTCATACTATAGCAATATGCCGAATATAAATTTGGAAACGAAAGGCCGGATGGTAATGAAATGTATTAAAAAAACAATTATTTGATTGCAACGTTATATAAAAATTTCAAAAGAATCGTTGAAGAACTTTCGATTAACACTCACATTTTTATTTACAAATACTATTCCCAGAATTTTAGTATTGATAACGTTAAAGGCCACTCAATACTTACTAATTAAAAAAAAAAAAAAGAATATTGATTGAGAAACAGGGAAGAAATAGGTACTGAACTGTTTTGTTTTTTGCCTATTTATATATGTAATCCAGAGTTTAAGAACACCATGTCACATTTTTGTATTTGTTTAGGGTAGCC